GGGCGGGTCACTTGAGCTCAGGAGATTGAGACCAGCCTGGGCAACATGGTGAGACCCCCGTCTCTACAGAAAATAAAAAAATTCGCCAGATGCGGTGTGGTCCCAGCTACTGGGAAGGCTGAGGTGGGAGGATTGCTCGAGCCCAGGTCGAGGCTGCAGTGAGCTCTGATTGTCCCACTGTACTCCAGCCTGGGCAATAGAGAGAGACTCTGTCTCAAGAAAGAAAAATAAATAAATAAAGAGAGAAAGAACAAAAGAGGGAAAGAGAGAAAGAGAGAGAGAAAGACAAAGATAAGGAAGGAAGGAAGGGAGGGAGGAGGGAAGGAGCAGAGAAGAGAGTGGAGGGCCAGCATGGTGGCACAGGGCTGTGGACTCCTCACCGTAAAGGACATCTTGTCTCTTCACCACCTCCCTCTTTTGCTTCTTGGCGTAGGCCGGGTCCACGGCGAGACTCCAGGACTCGGCTTCGAACTCGTGGCCGTCTGACTCAATCTCACTCCTCAGAGAGGCGGCGTAGGGATCTGAGGGAAGAGCGAGGGGCGGCTGCTGGGGGCCCAGAGCCATGTCACCCGGATTCCCTCCCGTGGACGTGCTGACACAGGCCCCAGCTCTTCCCAGGAGGCACAGGGACTGTGTGGCAGCCGCGAGAGAGCAAAGATGACCATACCTTCTACAAAAATGGACTCGGCGTTCGAAGTTGTGAGGGACAGAGAGTCATCAGCTGTCTGCTTAAGTTTTAAAAGCACAGAATCGGCTTCATCCATCTCTCCTGTGAGTGGTCTGGGTGCAAACAATAAAAACAATTGTTTTAGAAAAGTGAATTAAACACACACGCACATCCGATTCGATACTCTCCGAGAACTCTCCAGATTTTCACAGAAGCCTCAACTTTGTCTACAGATCATTTTTTTTAAATTGGGAGATTTGCCGGGTGCGGTGCCTCATGCCTGTAATCCCAGGTTTCCGGAGGCCGAAGTCAGGCAGATCACCTGAGGTCAGGAGTTCGAGACCAGCTTGCCCAACATGGCAAAACCCCGTCTCTACTAAAAATACAAAAATTAGCCGGGCGTGGTGGCAGGTGCCTGTAATCCCAGCTACTTGGGAGGCTGAGGCAGGCGAATCACTTGAATCCGGGAGGTGGAGATTGCAGTGAGCTGAGATTGTGCCAGTGAACTCCAGCCTAAGCGACAGAGTGAGACTCTGTCTATAGAAAAAAAAAAGCAGGGGCGGGGGAGATTATCTGTCAATGTCACATCAGGATTTCTTCCATAGTAACTTCCTTCAATGTTTAGTTACATCCTAATGGGGTGTGGATTGCAGCGTCCTTGACAGACCACTGGAGCCCACTTGGGGCCCCTAGGATCCTGTCTACCAGGAGTTAAGTGGAAATGGCTTCATGGTCAAAGGTGGGAGGGCAGTCCTTACTCAGAGAAAAAAGATAATCTATTCCCTTTCCCACAAACTCATGGAATAGCCACCACAAACATATCAGCTTCTAGCATCACTTTGTACTCGGACACCGCTGCGGCATTATCAAGGCAACCACTTTGAAGTCCTATAAAACGAGGTAAGGCACAGATAATGGGACGCCACCTCCACACACACCCAGCAGGACTTTGAGCATCACCTTGAGTAAGGAGCCTGGCCTAAGGAGCGAGTCCAAGGATCCCCTGACGCCACTAGGCAAACTGGCTCCACCAGGGGTTGAATACACCCCGGGTCACATCGAATATACCCCGGGACACATCGTTTTTGCAAAAAGGCGTGGATCCAGGAAGCAAGCGTTAATGGGAATTTCTCTGCTTGGCACAGGGGCTGCCGTGTGGATTCACACAGATCTAAGTCCGGGTCTCCCTCTGGGGAGGCTGTCAACAGCTCCCCGGGGAACGCCACCCACCCGAGGGCAGGGAGAGGACTCCGGCTTACCCGAGTTGCGTCCCAGGGCCAGCCGGGCTCGGTGTTGGCTGGGGACCCCCTTTCTGAGAGACCGTCATACCGACATTCCTGGACAGGGCCGGGCTGCCATCGGACAGGAGGGTGCCCCGGGGGTTCTCCTTGAGCGAGGCTGTGACAGAGGCAAGGACAGAGTTGGTGCTGAGAAAGTGGGTCGGGTAGCGGAGGTCGCCCGCGCGGAAGCCCCGCTCCGACTGCGGCCGCAGCACGGACAGGATCTTGGAGGTCAGCAGCTCGTTATCCAAGAAGACGTTCTCACTCCATTTCCTGGGGAAAGAGCCGTAAAAAGACAGCTCGGGGCGGCCGGGGAGCGTGCCGTGCCTGTCCCCGCTTTTGGAGTGAGCATTCCCCATGTTCGCGCCCAGGGCTCCGGGACCCGGCGCGGTGCCAGGCTGGGCTGCGCCGTTTTTATGCCTCGGTGGGATCCTTCTAGAAAACAGAGCTGCGTCTTCCCTTGCTGTATTGGCTGAAGCAGCGGGTCTGGAGGGCAGGATATTGGTCCCCACTGTGACCATTTACTGTGGAAATTGCACAGTATTTGCTGCTTTGATAGAATAAAACAGGGGAAAAAAAAAAAAAAAAACCCTCTAGGCTCTCCCTTGGTCTTTGCAGGGTGTAAAAACCAAGTGAGCTGTTTCAGTTTGCTGTAAATAGTCTAAGATCATGAAACTGTGCGCCTGGCGCGCTTCATGCCAAAACCTCGC